TGGATGGAAAAACCCAGTTGTTATATAATTAACTCCATAATTATAGACCAGCAAATGTATAGGTAAAGTTGCTATTGCTCTACATTCTGAAGTCTAATGATTAACCATAGCAAATTAATCAGGGATTAATTAGCTAAGATAATATGTTACTGTAATCCAACTATATTAATTGACATCTGATTCCAGCCTGTTAGATGTCAATTAAATCAGCCCGCATTGCTGGCACAACAAGAATCAATTAATACACAAGTGGGCTCTGAATTAATGTGCTAGTGGCAGATGGTATCTCTCTACATCACCTGTGCAGTTCTCACCTTTAAAAATAGTAATTTTCAAAGTGATCCCTCTCTGGCATATTATGATCCGGGTAATATTAAGTGCATAGAAATAAACTTGCCTTCCTCAGCTGTGGGTGGGTCTGCTGAACTGGATGAAATTCTGTTCTGCATTGGGTCCATGCCGCTTTCTATTGCTTTAAACGGGTAATATCCAATGGTGACAGAAGCCAAGCAGAAGTATTTCTGCTTGCACAAAGTGGGAGGGTGTACCCAAGTTTTGTCAGTCTACCTTACCTACTGCAGTTCTCTGCAACCAAATCCCGTATTAATCCACAGAAGCAAATTCTGTTGGTGGGGAGAAATACAGTGGTACCTCAGGTTAAGTACTTAATTCGTTCCGGAGGTCCGTACTTAATCTGAAACTGTTCTTAACCTGAAGCACCACTTTAGCTAATGGGGCCTCCTGCTGCCACCGCGCCGCCGGAGCACCATTTTTGTTCTCATCCTGAAGCAAAGTTCTTAACCTGAAGCACTATTTCAGGGTTAGCAGAGTCTGTAACCTGAAGCGTATGTAACCTGAGGTACCACTGTAGTGAAGACCAGGGCCCAGACCAGTGTGAGCTGAAAAGCTTCTTCATGCCTACTGCTGCCACGGAATACAACAGTATGAAATGTTTGGGTGTAAACCTTGTATCAATGGAGGATCTTGCCTAGGGGCTGAATGTGGCTCTCCAGGTCTTCCTATGTGGCCCTTAGAACTCTCTCCAGGTCACAGCCCTACGTGACTCTGCTTTTGCATTCCTAGTGGGTATAAAAGGCTACAGGATGTCAGGGAGAGCTTACAGAACATACACTGGTCAGAAATGAAGTCGTGTGACTGCCCTGAAACTTTTGCAAGTGCAAACAGTATGAAAAAATGGGATTGCCTATGACCACCCTGATAGCATCATGAATGCATAGCAAAAAAGGATGCCTGGAGGGGCTCTATGGGAGGGGCAGGGCAATTCCAACCATGCACTTTGAATATGCAGCAATGCCTAGGACCGGGCCCTTGTCCCCCCGAAGTCAAAGGGACAAAGCCAGCATCCCTGATAGTGCGACATCTGAACTAGTTTGTGCCCCATAACTAGAAGAACACAAAGTCTGTTTTTTTAATGAAACAACACAAGAGAAATGAAGGATTGCACCTTTCTGACTGAACCTGCATTTTGCACATTATAAGAGAAACGAAGGTTTCATAAAATGTAATGAACTCAGCATTGATTTTTTTTTTGTTTAAATGAAAGATTGTAACTTGTCATCTGAATGAATTTTTTTTAACATTGGCTTTCTATTTTCATAGCTCTTCTAAATCTCCATTAATGTCATCGGCAGCACTTTCAGAGTTCCTAAATGAAGTCAAGCATACCCAATCCACCTTACAACTGACCTTTCAATTTTTTGCCATGGAAACAAGAATACTCGCTTGATAAACTGGTACTAAACTTCAAAGAACAGAGGAACGTCTGCAGTTTTAGATTGCTGTGATGAAATGAAAGCGTTCAAGCTCTTAATTTCTTTTCCCTCTCAATATGGGAAAAAAATATGGTCCATGTCAAATGCAAAAATTATCAGCATCTTGCTTTGGAAGAGGCCATTTTTATTTATCCTTTAGAACATGGGTAGGCAAACTAAGGCCCGGGGGCCAGATCTGGTCCAATCGCCTTTTAAATCCGGCCCGCGGACGATCCAGAAATCAGTGTGTTTTTTCATGAGTAGAATGTGTCCTTTTATTTAAATGCATCTCTGGGTTATTTGTGGGGCCTGCCTGGTGTTTTTACATGAGTAGAATGTGTGCTTTTATCTTTGGGTTATTTGTGGGGGGGGATAGGAATTCATTCGTTGTTTTCCCCCAAAATATAGTCTGGCCCCCCACAAGGTCTGAGGCACAGTGGACCGGTCCCCTGCTGAAAAAGTTTGCTGATCCCTGCTTTAGAAGAATGAGAATTGCTTGAGTGTAACAAGTCAACCCTCCAGAGCTGATTTTGTGGAGAGGATTGCAGTGGAGGTTTTTTGCATGACTGGAGCTGCAACATTGGATACAGCCCATGTTGTATGGGTCAAGTTGACCCAGCCTACAGGATTCAACAAGGAGTCAAATGGTTTTCAAAAATAAAATCTGGGAGACAGTTTTTACATGAGTAGTTCAGTGGGCGACTTCTTTTTGTTTGTGGCATGTTTGAAAGACAGGATTTAACCAACAGCATCTCCCATTCATGGATTGTAGATATCAGGGTGGGAATAAATCTTCAGAAAATTATGGAGAACTTTGTAAAATTGACAGAATAAAACTTCATGGACTATTGGTTGGACTGAGTATGAAGTTTTTTGTTTTTTTTTAAAATCAAGTCTACTCTAGCAAAATCCAAAGCAAATTGTATTTTCTTCATATATACATAAAAATGCAAGGCTGTTGTCATGTTGCCGTTGGTATGGCCACCAATAGGTATGTGCATGAAGCAGATGGTTTAAGAGATGGTAGGAAGTAGTTCACACAGTGGTTTTGCAAACCACTCTGTGAAGTGCCTCCCCCTCCTTTAAAAAGTATTGGGGTAAGCTGTGAAGAGAGGTGCTTTAGGTGGTGGGATAGATGAGAGGGTGGTTGGTTGAGGTGTGAAAGGAAGGGGTATTGGTCTGGTGTGAGAGAAGGGAAACTGGCAAAGGGGTAGGCAAGGTTGGTGATTCAAGTGAGCAGGGGATTCGTTATTAATATGTATTATATTTATATCTCACCTTTCCCTCATGGCATAGATTCACTCCCCAGATGGAATCCCATCCAGGCATTGCCCCAAGATCTTACTTCTGTTCAACAATTTGTAGAGTGTCAACCATTTGCAAAATCAGCTTGCAGTCATAATAATAGATTCCTAGGTTCTATATTTCTATTTATGGCTCACCAACACTTCATAAATATGAAATAGCATTTTCAGCATAATTCAGCATATGCCAGTTTTCTATCATCATGAGAGTTTGGCAATGAAGCAATTACTCCTAACACTATTCATTGTCAAACTGCTTTTATATAGCAAATAATGAGAATGTCATTTATTTGACATTATAGTTCAGGGGCGGGTGGGGAGGAGTATTCTCCAGTTCCATGTCAGTGTATCTAACCCTCCAATTTACTTCCTGCAAGCACTTCTTATTCCAGATTATCCATGGCACTTCATATGCTTGGATTCCACATGTTTTATCTGTGTTTATTGAATTAATTGATTTTCATTTATTGTAATACTGTTTTATAATGGCCACACAATGTACTTTACACAGACTAATGGAGCAGGTTGTATTTCAGTTTAATCACATTAAAACTAAAAAGTAGAATAGATAAAAATTCAGGTAGATCACAAATCCTAGATTATGTTATCCAGGGAAATGAAATCATGCCTACATCTCTTTTAACAGGTTGGACACTGTTGTATGCAAGGTTGGAGTTGGTTGGGTGAGATTATGGTGTCAAAACAGGGATGGAGAAACAGTTGTCCTCTATTTGTTGTTGAGCTACAACTTCTGTAATCCTGGAGCATTGGCCATGCTGGCTGGACAAGATGGGAGTTGGAGTCCAACAATATCTGGAGGGCCAGAGGTTTTCCATCCCAGTGTTAGAACAATGAATACTGAACTGTGGTTTCTCTGATGCAGTGGACTATATACAGTTTCAAGGAAGTCTCCTAAGACTTGGCTACCCAGGGTTCCCAGCAATGGCTCAAAGATGACCATGGCAGGTGAGGCCACAGCCTCTTCCCACAAAACTGAAATATTCCATCTCTAGATCTTAGGCTACAATCCTAACTTTTCCCCATGTTCCACATACTGGTAGGGCTTTATGGAGAATTCCACCTCCACCCCAGCATTAGTGGGGGTTTGTATTACTCCAACATAATCCAACTTTGCTAAAGATAAATTAAAATGTACAACACCATCTGTGAATAAAATATTCCTGATAAGTCATGCATGGATGTTTGCTTGTTAATAAAATATCTGTTCTACGTTGAATCTGGAACTTCCTTTTGAAGACGACAAATGGTACTAAGAGTGAAAAACATGACTGGGAGAAGGTACAATGGAATATTTGTGGGCTCTGCATCCTTTATCTCTCAGACATGATGCAGCTGAGGAATGGAAGAGGGAGAAGTTTAAAACAACATTCTTTCTCCTTTCAGTGTTTCTCCCTTTTTGCTGTACTCAAACAACAGCAGAAGCTTGAGCCTTGTGGGGGTAGGGAGAGCAGTTCGTTTTAATGAGGAAAAATAGCAGAGATGGGCACAATGTTTAACATGTTGTAAACTGCTTTGAGATTTTTTCCCCTTAAAAATATAAAGCAGTATAGAATTGAAATGAATAGTAATAATAATAATAATAATAACAATAATATATCACATATATGTAGCATTAAGATATTCAGATAACATAGAAAGCTGGCAACCAGCTAGTTACTTGTTTGACTTCCCACTTGCAAAACATTTTATTTCCAGGTTATTATAAGTGTTTAAATCAAGCCTTCTCTCCCCCTGGCAATGCAAACTTCATTGTGGCTCAGTGTCAGTTGAAGAGAAAGGTACAGAGGTGCTTTACATAACAGTGGCTGTCAGATTTACTGAGGGGGATTTCCTAATAACATTAAACCTGCCAGTTCTTCATGACATCTCCTTTGGGTATCTGAATGAAAAGATTTTATTGCATCTGAAAAGAAGATTCCAAGTCTCTTTTGCTGGGATGACTTCATGGCCCTCAGAAGAGAGTTTGCCGAGTCAGCTTCTCTTCAGTGCCTTTTGTGGTATCCACTTGTTTCAACAACCATTCATTGTTCATGATGAAGACATGAGATAGCAACTGGAACAGAAGGAAATGGCCTGATGGCTTCACCAAATATTCCAAAAAATCAGAATTAAGCTTTAGCTGGCTTATGCTCAAATCTATATTTAACAACAATAGTTATGATTTATCGAGCACCTAAAACTAAATGAGGCTGCTTGGATCCTGCTCACAGATTTACAACGGAAAACTTAGGAAAACAGGCTGAGGAAATGTGGAGGCTGTCCATCAGCATGAGACCATAGCCAGCCTGTTATGTTATAGTTTATTTATACATTGCTATTTGACCCAAAGGCACACACCCTCCAGCAATGAAAACCATATACAGTGGTACCTCGGGTTAAGAAATTCATTCATTCTGGAGGTCTGTTTTTAACCTGAGGTACCACTTTAGCTAATGGGGCCTCCTGCTGCCATCACGTGATTTCTGTTCTCATCCTGAAGCAAAGTTCTTAACCCGAGGTACTATTTCTGAGTTAGTGGAGTCTGTAACCTGAAGCATCTGTAAGCCGAGGTACCACTGTACATACAAAATAAAGGTACTATAAATCAATCAAAAGGAAAACCAGCAAATACCACCAATCATAAGCTATGAATACTACATTCTATTTCGACTTTGATGGCTACATTCTACCTCCAGTGGAAGTATGCTGGGGGTTAGAGTTGAGGGAGTGTGCTGCTGTGCTCAGGTGCTGCTAGTGGGCTTTTTATAGGCATCTGGTTAGCTACTGGGAGGTGGGTCTTTGGCCTGATCCAGAAAGGCTCTTCTTATGCTCTTATGTTCACATTAGTAAGCTGCATTCAGGGTCTCATCACAGATGCAACTCCTGAGCACTCCACCTTTTAGAACTCAACCCAAAGAACTCAGGATAATGTAGATACTCTAGCAAATATTCTGGCATTTCCCCACGATCTTCCATGTAATATTTTGCAAGTATCGCTTAAGCCTGGAGAAGTCTTCAGGCTGAAACAGGCAGGCTCTGATTTGTGACTAGGAACTGGGAAAGACCAACTATTTCCCCACCAAAGAACAAGGTTACAAAACCCATGATTTTTGACAGCAGCCGATCTATTGTGTTGTCAGTGCTCTTGGATATATACTATAAGTTCCCCATAAGATCCATTAATATGTTCTTAAAATATTTTCTTGCTCTTTAATGTCTGCTTGCCAAATGCATGCTACACAAAGAGAGAGAAAATAGTTGTGACCCCAAGATCCGGTCAGTGTCAGGCATGCCAACTCCTAAGGGTTGAGGTTGTCCCCCCCCCAAGTATTTTTTTGGGGGGCAAAGCCTCCTCAATATTCAGGGGGCATTCAGCTCTGCCCCGTGGCATCACACGCACAAAATCAGGGCATTGTGCAGCGTCGCACACATGAAGTTGTGACGTTGCAAGGCATCCTGCCCAGGCCCCCTCAGTCCTCTTAAGAAGATGGCGCCTCTGGTCAGAGTAAAACAATATTGTGCGAGATGGTCCAATAGACTGCGACAATATAAGGCAGGTTCATATGGTTGTTAGACTCATTTCCATCATGTCATGTGTACACCAGGCAGTGGTTAATCCAGAGTCTTCCAGTTGTTGTTAGATTCCAACTCCTCACCAGCTCCAAGAGCAAGAGTCAGATCAAGACATCTGGAGTGCCACAGGTTAGCCACCCACTGCCTACATTAAGAAATAATGCCACTGTATTTCTCCTTAAATGGCATGCCACCTTTGTTTGAAGGTATACACCTATTCCAAATGGACCTGATGACTGTGGTCACATTCACACCACTTCAAATGGTCTTGGCTTCCTCCAAAGAATTGTGGCAGCTCCATTTTGTTAAGAGTGCTGAGAGTCGTTAGGAGAACCATATTCTCCCCACAAAGCCACAATTCCCAAAGTTCTCTTTGGAAAGCAACTGATTGTTAAACTGTTCTGAGAACTGTAGTTCTGGGAAAGCAATAGGGTCTCCTAACATCTCTCAGCACCCTTGACAAACTATGCTTCCCAGAACTTTTTGGAGGAAGCTGTGACTGTTTAAAATGGTGTCGTAGTGCTTTAAATGTATGGTGTGAATGTGACCTATATCAAATCATTTGAAGAATAGTCTGCTTTGGTGTCCTTAGCTCAAGTTATGCTCTAAGCTTCCATTTACCTTTTATCTTCTCATGCATAACCAGAAAAAAAATAGAGCAATCCATAAAATTTTTCTTTCTCTCTGCTTAGGGCAACAGTATTTATATTCCCTTTTTTTCTTCTTTGACCATTTACTATAAACTGATGGAGCAGATAAAAAGATCTAATTCCAGAGATGAAACAAATGCATGTGAGTCCCCCCCGCCCCGTTTTGTTTCTAACTAAACATCAGGAAATGCTTATTAGTTAATAAGAATGTATTTTCAACTGCTTTATGATCTCCTACGCATTTGTTCCCTGCTACATATTTATTTGCTTGACATGTTTCCTAAATCAGAGACCCTTCTCACGGCACATTTTAATGGGCTCGAATAATTTTCAGAGAAAAATTAATTAAAGACCACATTTTCCGGTTGCTATCCATCAAGCGCAGGAGTCGACAGCTTATTTAGCAACGATAGCTGCATCAGAAATATTTCATGAGCCTGAGGTCTGCTACTAATTTACATATTTGCACACATGTAATTAATGCAATTTGCATAATATTTGGATGTAGCAATAATAATAATAATCTTCATTATCTCAAAGCCTATAATATTGAAAAACAGAGCGCAGAGGTGGGGAATGTCAGGCCTGGGGCTGAATTTGGGCCTCCAGACCTCTCTGTGTGGCCCTCTTCCCACAGGCTACACCCATTACTGGTCCTCCTTTGCACCCCACAAGTGTTTGTGCCTGGCTGGAGTGTGTCCCTAAACTCTGACAATGCCTCTTGATTGGAGGATAGAGAGGGATGTGTGAGTGTGTGTAGAAAGCAGCCTACTGTAGAAAGCAAAATGCATATTCATTGCTCCACCCACTTTTGCCTCTAGCCCCATCCATCACTGGCATGTGGTCCTTGGGAAGTTGCCCAAAAGGGTTTGCAGCTCTCAGGCTCAAAAAGGTCCCCCAACCATTGTCTGGTGCATGGGGCTTCTTAAAATGCCCAAATGTTGTCACTCACTAGGCATGATAGGACGCGGGTGGCGCTGTGGTCTAAACCACTGAGCCTCTTGGGCTTGCCAATCAGAAGGTCAGCAGTTTGAATCCTCACGACAGGGTGAGCTCCCGTTGCTCGGTCCCAGCTCCTGCCAACCAGCAGTTTGAAAGCACACCAGTGCAAGTAGATAAATAGGTACCGCTGCAACAGGAAGGTAAATGGCGTTTTCGTGCGCTCTGGTTTCCGTCACGGTGTTCCATTGTGCCAGAAGCAGTTTAGTCATGCTGCCCACATGACCTGAAAATCTGTCTGTGGACAAACGCTGGCTCCCTCGGCCTGAAGTGAGATGAGCACCACAACCCCATTGTTGCCTTTGACTGGACTTAACCATCCAGGGGTCCTTTACGTTTTTACTAGGTAAGATGTTGCCATTGCTCTGTGCCTTTCCCCCCTCTTCCTGGGAATGACTGGTACAACACAGTGCATGAGATGATGTCACAATGGTGTGTGTTTTTCCTACCCCAATGGCCAATCATGTTAGGGAAATGCACAGTGTAATGGAGTCCCTTGATACATTTGTGTTGGACAAGATACAGAGTTGGATCTAGACCAAGTGGAGTTGCACCCAGTTCTTGCTGAAATCAGAGGGACTTAAGACTGTCGCAAAGATTTCAGTGGGAATTGGTTTTATTTACATCCAACTCATTGGCAGAACTAGTGAACAAGGAGACATAAGGACATAAGAATAGCCTGCAGGATCAAGCCAATGGCCCATCTAGATATGGAACAACAGTGTCGTGTCCCTCATTGTTTGTGGTGTACAATATGTGATTATCAGGACATTTCCTTCTAGTCTGGCGATGACCCCTGAGAGTTGTTAGGAGACCCCATCACTGAGAGAAGATTTTGAGCATCCTTACTAACTAGAACAGGCACAGGCAAACTCGGCCCTCCAGATGTTTTGGGACCACAACTCCCATCATCCCTAGCTAACAGGACCAGTGGTCAGGGAAGATGGGAGTTGTAGTCCGAAAACATCTGGAGGGCCGAGTTTGCCTATGCCTGAGCTAGAACGTCCTGGATTCTTTGGGGAAAGCCATAGCTGTTAATGTGGCACAAGAGTGCTTTAAAAATGTATAGTGTAGTTGTGACTAAAGAGGGACTTCCTTTTAAAAACAGAATCGGGGCAGGTTTATGCCGCAATCCATGGCTAGTTAGCTACCATACATGGCTAGTATGGCTACCTGGCATCTGCCTCCCTAGTGTAGGATAATTCCACAACAGTCATGTTGGTCAGAAATATAAATGTTTCCTTGCTCATCAGCTGCAAGATGCACTCAATCACTGCTATTGCTTTACCAAAATCCCAAGGAAATAATCCAGAAGCAACTGACTCTAACATCAGGCTCTGGCATCTAGTGGGGAGAAGCCAAAGAGGGGGAGGGAGGGAGGGGAAGCCAAATAAAGCAAAAATCAGAAACCTCACAAGAAATCTTTCCGTTAACCAAGGTAGGAATATAACCCTCCAGGTGCTGCTGTTGCATTTTAAGGGCGTCTCAGCTTTAATTAAATATGAAGTAGCATTTTACTCCTGCCAGCAAAAACATGCAATGTACTGTATAATAAATCTTAACGTAATGTTAATGCTGCCCAGGTACCTTGCTGACTTCAGAGCTGCCTAATGATATATGATGGCTTGCCACACAGTAACTCCATTGACTCCACTGAGTACAACAGAGTTACTGCCTTGCAAATCACGAAACCAAGCAATAGATCTTGAGGTTGCTTGGACGTTTGTTCTGCTTGCTATGGTACAATGCATTTAAAGTGGAAATCTTGTAGTATGCAATCACTCTACAGATACAGGCCCCCAGGACATGCATGCATGCATGCAAACAACATGCAAACAACAATAACAACAACTTCACTGCAATATTTTGCTAGCATTGTCAAAACTCATACGTTTCCATTTGAATTCTTAAGATAGTTTGCCTGACAAAGATTTGCCAAATCCGCCATTTCAGATTATTTTGTTTTCTGTGAAATCTGATGAGAAACTAGGAACCTGCAGAATCTCCCCAACCCTTTCGATAGTGTTATTAAAACTCTTTGGGCTTTCCCTGATATGCTGTAGAGGAACTGGCCAATTCACTTCAAATTCCACTTTAGGCAAAATGTCACCGGCAACATAAATATGCCCATCCCTCATGCTGGTATAAATATTCAGACTTTGTTTGCATATGCTTTTTTATATTTTGCTGGGTATAAATTATAAAATTACTACTACTACTGTTACTATGGGGAAGCCAGGGAGGGATAGCTCTTTGTAGGTTTTAAAATGGTCTCTATATGAATAGTTTTCATATGATCTGAGGCCAGGTAGCTTCAAAATTCCTTGTTCTAAGATAGCCAACCTGGTGCCCTAGATGCTCCAGACGACAACTCTCATCGGCCTAAGCAAACATAGCCAGTGGTCAGGGAACTATGATGGGAGCTGTAATCCAAAACATCAGAAGATCACTAGGCAGGTGAAGGCTGATGCAAGATTCTCTCTCTTTTCCTCTTAGTTAATGCTTTACCATACCTTAAGAGGATAAGTATGTGAAGTACAGAGGTGAACCCTTTTCTGTTTTTTGGAGGTATGTAAAAAGGTAAAAGTAAAGGTGCCCCTGACTGTTAGGCCCAGTGCAGATGACTCTGGGGTTGCACGCTCATCTTGTTCTATAGGCTGAGGGAGCTGGTGTTTGTCCACAGACAGTCATGTAGTTATACAGTGGTACCTCAGGTTACATATGCTTCAGGTTACAGACTCCGCTAACTCAGAAATATTACCTCGGGTTAAGAACTTTGCTTCAAGATGCGAACAGAAATCATGTAGCGGCGTCGCAGCGGCAGCAGGAGGCCCCATTAGCTAAAGTGGTGCTTCTTCAGGTTAAGAACAGTTTCATGCTAAGAACAGACCTCCGGAACGAATTAAGTTCTTAACCCAAGGTACCACTGTATAATAGTACCACTGTATAATATGCTTAGGGAAAGGGAAGGGGCATGATTGAGTGGCCTTCCACACTTTTTACTAGACCTGAAAATAAATATCCACAAGTAGATGTTTAGCTCAAAAGCTAAATGCTTTAAATGTGTCGGCAGCTCTTGATCATTTTGATTTTGGCAAGCTTAAAATACCAGCTCTCATAAGCTGACAGCTGTCAAATACCATGTTATTTCTCTCTCTCATAAAAATGTAACAATGTCACTACGCAGTTCCCATTAGAGGATTTGTATAGTTCCTCAACACAATCCTGGGTTTGCATGAAGTCAGGGTGGGGTGGGGTGGGGTAGGGGAACAAAAGCGAAGGCAGGCTACACCACAGCAGAGACCATGGAATGGGAGTGATCAGGGAGACACACTGAGAGGGTAGTTTAAAAAAAATGGAAGATGTTTGAATAAAGACGGAATGGAGAGTCACTGAGAGGAACACTGTGCTTTGAAACACAGCAGAAGTTTGATAAAGAGGCACTGAGATAAAAAAAGTGGTGATTTTAAACAATGGCAGCAGTCTTGACTAGAGTAAGCAGGGAGTAACACTGACGGTCGAAGTGGCAAGAAGAGAGTTTGGAAAGGTTCTCTTGTGTTAGTGTCTGTGTTGTACCCATCTCTGCTATTTCTCTTTGTTAAGACTTTTTTTTCTTAAAGAAAACAAACAGCCCCTCAGTGTTGTTACTTTTCTGGCAGCTACTGGAAGATCACAGCAGCAGCTCAGGTGGAGAAGACGCAGATAGATCTAGCAAGAACCAGCTTAAGAGAGAGATTGTGTGTCTACATCTAAGAACTTTGGAGGAGGGCCAAACTGTTTATACATTACTGTTATATTTCATTTTTTGCTATAGTGATTTAATTTGTATTATATATCCTTGTATATGTGATTTACATAAAACACTGTTAATGTTTTTTGTTTAAGAATGATGCTCTTTGGTCCTCTGCAGGGACTCACAGAAATGATGTTATTTCTGTGAGTCCCCACAGAGACCCTTAATAAAGACCTTTGGCAAAACAACGTTAAAAATCATACCAAAATAGTTACAAAATCCATAGTTATAAAAGTATTCCAGCAACCACATGAGAATTTAAGGAATACCTGTATGATATTATACTTTAAAAACTCTAAAATATAATTTTTTAAGGATATTTGTGAACAAATTCATTTCAGCTCTGGTTTTCACAGTAATCTCTGCTAAAGGAAAAAGCCAGTGGCTTTCATTCAATTAATCCTGATGGTCTTGGCTGTCCTAATTTCTGAAGGTCAGGTAATATTGAATTCCTATAGCATATTGCTTGACTGAGCTGTATGATTCCAGATGCAGAGAAACTTGTTTTTAAAAATAACGACATTGGTGTGACTCAATAAGCAGCCCTAACTGCTCTGTCCCTCTAGCAGCCTGTTTCAGGTGTTTTAAAGGATGTGGAAAGGGAAAAAAACATTCCCTGATCATCTTGTTCTTGTTTGGTCCAGCACAAGTCTGTAAGCACAAGGGGCTCCCCACATGATGAAGCATCAAGGTAAACGGGCAGGCAGCTGAGTCAAGCATCTATTATTGTTAAGGTAATTTATATACTGCTTCACACGTCAAAGAGTTCTCTAAGTGGTTTATAACATTATAAAACTATAATATGTAAATACAACCCCCTAATAAAACCTCACATTTTAAAGCAACATAGAACAATGAGATAAGATCATGTTAAACTACAATATAAACTTAAACAACTAGCACATGGCAACCATAATAACGGCTAGCAGACAGGAATATAACAGAGAAAAGCTATTCCACCCACCAAATACACAACCACATATTTATACAGTAGGTAGCACCACTCTCATTTCTGTTGCTATCTCCCACTGTGCCTCCAAGTGTCCCTGTTTAAGCAGGACATCCCTGATTGACATTCTGATTCCAAGCCTGGATGTCCGATTCTGGGTCCTGCGCTCTGGCCATATTTCGGTTCTACACTCAGCAGCGTAGCGTGGGTTGTCAGCACCCGGGGCAAGGCAAGTAATTTGCGCCCCCTAACCCGGGGCAAGGCAAGTAATTTGCGCCCCCTAACCCCTAACCTGCCGCCGCTGCCAGCTTCTTCTTGCTGCTGCCTGGGCTGGTCTGGTGTGGTTCTCTCCCGCGCTCAGCGCTGCGCTGGGCGGCCGCTGCACTGTCCCTCCCCAGATAGTCCCTCGCTCTCTCTCCGCACCGCACGCCTGGCACCCACCCCTCCACAGTGGGCGGCGACCCAGCGGCTCGGATCGGATTCGCACAGCCAGCACTGCAGTGAGAGAGAGTGAGTGAGCCAGGTAGGGGCAGAGAGCTGCGAGTGCGAGCGCCCCCCCCCAGATGTTGCGCCCGGTGCGGCCGGCCCCCCCTGCACCCCCCATGCTACGCCACTGTCTACACTACAGTGCAAGAAGAAGA